TCCTAGCCCACAGCTCTGTGTCCTAACCATTAAGACGGCCATTTTAATGTGAAGCTATCGGTAAAAATGTCAGTTGTGAGGGATTATTTTGATCCTATTTTGTGTTTCTCCCTAAATAAACAGGTCAGTGTCTCTTTATCAAACTCCGCTAATTCAGCTAGTTGTTTTCAGAGTAATCCCCTTTTAAACATGAGTCTGACAACTAAGTGAGTAGATAAATAACTTTAGACTTTAAAGACGGCCATGTTACTGTGAAGCTAAAATCGGTAAAAATGTGAGTTGTGTGGGATTATTTTATCCTTAAGGACGAAAAAGACCAAGAGGTGGAGCACTATTAAATAGAGTTTACAATATTATTTTCACTTTTTTTTTAGCTTTGGTTTACACTGGTTTAAGAGCTCTGATATTGAGTTAATAGACTATTTTCTATTCAGGTTGTTTGTCATTTTTGCAATATTATTTGCACTTTTTATAGTTCATTGATGCTATTTCCATTTGTTATTTATAGTTTAGTCTCTTGTGTTTCTCCCTGAATAAACAGGTCAGTGTCTCTTTACCAAACTCCCCTAATTCAGCTAGTTGTTTTCAGAGTAAATCCCTTTTTCAACGTGAGTCTGACAACTAAGTAAGTAGATAAATCATTTTAAACTTGAATACAGGCTCTGATAGGATCAGACCAGATCTACAAGGTTATGATGAAGGAAAACAACAAGAAGTGGATGGACACGCCTACCTTCCCAAACTGAGTCTGGGCCGTTTGTTTGAGCTGGTCCAGATCTTTTCCCGTCAACAGTTTCTGTCATCACACCGGAGACAAAGAACCCCGTTTGAGACAGAAAAGAGCAAAACGCAATAGTTCACACCACAGGAATATGGAGGTGCTCTTACTGCTCCACTCTGGACACAGATGGCCTGAACCGAGCCCTCCGATTGGCTGAGGGCCGACCTGAGGAATTCAATTTGTGTGGAAGAAAACAGGTCGCTGAGGTCGATGAGCTGGAGACACGGAGACAGAAGCAAACCGGCCGTTAGCGGTTAGCGGTTAGCTCGTAAGAGACTCTGAGGTCTGGACAAACACACAGGATCTGTTCCTCCCACCTTCATGCCGAACCTGGTGTCGGGTTTGTCCACTCCATAGTCCCTCATGGCCTCTTCGTAGGTCAGAGTCTGGAAAGGGACGCGTACGGGCCCCTTCTCTGCAGGCCAGGAGTGCTGCAGCAGCCCCTCCACCAGAGACATGACGCCCGCCTGCTCCACAAACGACATCTCTATGTCCACCTGGG